AGAAAAACCCAATTTTATTTGTACTTTTTTTTGTCCATCCAACAGATTCTATCCCCCCCTTTAAGGGGGGACGAACAGACCTCACCCATATGCATCTTGAGGGTTCATTGTGTGTGTGTGTGTGTGTGCGTGTGTGTGTGTGTGTGTGTGTGTGTGTGTGTGTGCGTGTGTGTGTGCGTGTGTGTGGGTGTGTGGGTGTGTGGGTGTGAGTGCGTGTGTGGGGGGGGGGTTGTGCTCGCTTGGATATGCATTGCCTGCATTTGACCGTGCCTTTCTCACCCACAGATAACCCTCGCTTCGTGCAGGTCCCCGTTTCTCGAGATTGGGCAGCTCGCTGGATATGAGCTGTACGAGGATGTGGTGCCATGCGGTGGCATCATCACGGGCATCGGCCGCGTCCACGGGTGCGTCGTGTTCCGCTGTTGGTGATAGGGGTCAGGATGACGAAATGGAGTGGGAGGGTGGAGGAGGTTGATGGAGTAGGAGGGTTGGGGGTTTGGGGTTTCATGATGTCGTTCTCAAAGCGTGGACAGTGCGAGCACTTCCAGGCGCTGTTTTGTCAAGTGTGTAACATTCAGCGTTCCCCACTCCCCCCCCCCATTCACTCCTTTGCTCGCACCCCGCCCCATTCCTTCTCTCCCCATCTCTACCATGCACAGGACGGAGTGCATGATTGTTGCCAACGATGCGACGGTCAAGGGCGGTTCGTACTACCCAATCACCGTCAAGAAGCATCTTCGCGCCCAAGAGATCGCCCTCAAGAACCACCTCCCCTGCATCTACCTCGGTATCGTGTGTGTGTGTGTTGATTGTGTGCGTGTGTGTATTAATCATGTGAGTTGTATCAGTGCGTGTGCTTGATTGTGTCGTGGGAATGTGTTCTATGTATTCGTTTTATGTTCTTCGGTACGGTTTAATGCCCACACACATGTGTCCGCGCTGACACTTATCCCACATCCACCTTCAACCCGCCACCACCTGCATGTCCACCGCTGTGTGCAGTTGACTCTGGCGGTGCGAACCTTCCTCGCCAGGCCGATGTGTTTCCGGACAAGAATCACTTTGGACGCATCTTCTTCAACCAGGCAAACATGTCCGCAAAGAACATCCCACAGGTGCACGCCAACCCAACATGTCATGTGTGAGCCTGGTTTGAGGGCTTGCATGTTTTGCATGCGCACTTTGCTCCATTTAGCTCATCACACACACACACACACACACACACACACACACACACACACACACACACACACACACACACACACACACACACACACACACACACACACACACACACCACGCCTCGTCCAATGCAGATTGCGTGTGTGATGGGCTCGTGCACGGCCGGTGGCGCGTATGTGCCCGCCATGTCTGACGAAACGGTCATTGTCAAGGAGCAGGGCACGATCTTCCTCGCCGGACCCGTGAGTTGTTGAATGGACAAGAGCAAGTGAAGACGAGGGAGAGAGACAGGAGAAGAGCAAGAGGAAGAAGGGAGCGGTGGGGTTTGCTGTCAACCGTGTCCATTGCGCAACGTGCGGTGTCTGTTTTATTTTTCACACTCACACACACACACACACACACACGCACACACACACACACTCACACACACACACACACACACACACACACACACACACACACACACACACACACACACACACACACACACATACACACATGCCCCGTGTCGTTGACAGCCGCTGGTGAAGGCTGCGATTGGAGAGGAGATTTCTGCCGAGGAGTTGGGCGGTGGTGATTTGCACACGCGCGTATCCGGTGTCGCGGACCACTTGGCCATTGATGATGCGCACGCACTCAGCATTGTTCGCTCGACCGTCAAGAACCTCAACCGCATCAAGCCGCAGCAGGTGCCGTGTTTCCGTACGCCAGCACAGCGTAGCCATGGACCCTGCAGTGCACATTGAATCCCCTCATATGGTTTGTTGCCTTGCTTCCTCACCACTGATCGCCACCACTGAACGCCACTGCCTTGCCATCAGGTTGTGACGCGCGAGTCGCGCCCTCCGCTGTACGATCCGGAGACGGTGTACGGCATTGTTGGCACGGACTACCGCAAGGCGTTTGACGTGAGCTGATTCACTTGGCGATAATGCCTGATGACGTGGCCTGTGTTGTTGTGCAATCACTGTTCGCCAACATGGGCTTCACACACGCAAACACACACACACACACACACACACACACACACACACACACACACACACACACACACACACACACACACACACACACACACGCCTGTTCGTATCCGTGTCCCTTCCCATCGCGCCCTTGCGCACACAACTCGCCCCCTCACCATCAACTCAATTAATCCTCCTCCCTCGCCCCTCCCTTGTCGATGCAGGTTCCCAAGTTTACGGTGATTGTTGGCGGCTCGTTTGGCGCGGGCAACTACGGCATGTGCGGGCGCGCATACGATCCGCGCTTCATGTACATGTGGCCCAACGCGAAGATCTCCGTCATGGGTGGCGACCAGGCAGCAAATGTCCTCAGCACGCTGGACCAGGTCAAGCGGCGCAAGCTCGGCGAGCAGGAGGTAATGTGGCAGCAGCACGATGGTGGTGGTGGCGAGGACCTGTGTTTGCCTATGGTTTGTTATGTATTGTGTTGAACGTGAACGCGGGTGGTGCAAAGGTACTATGCCAAACCCGAGCAGCTCGTGGACATGCAAGCACTTGGGCGGTGCACACCGCGACCTTGATGCCAGATGTCTCCTCTCTCTATTCTCCTGTTCACACACACACACACACACACACACGCACACGCACACGCACACGCACACACGCACGCACACGCACATACACACATTCACACTCCTTGCCTCTTTGTTTCCTGCGCAGCTGTCGACGGAGGAAGAAGAGGCGCGGAAGCAGGTGATCAAGGACCGCTACATGGCAGAGGCACACGCGTACTTTGCCAGCGCGCGCCTGTGGGACGACGGCGTGATTGACCCGGCCAACACGCGCGACGTGCTTGGTCTCTCCATCTCCGCCTCCCTCTGTGCTCCGATTGAGCCAACCAAGTTTGGTGTCTTCCGCATGTAAACCACCACGCGCCACGATGCACGTGTGTGTGTGTGTGTGTGTGTGTGTGTGTGTGTGTGTGTTGACTGATTGTTGTAGTTTGCACGAGTGGCCGTGTTTCTTTGTTTGTTGGTGTGCCTGCGATTGATTGTTGACGTTGCTGCGTTGGAAGATTTGTTTGTATGTTTCTTGCCTTGCAAAGGGGGGAACAACCTACGAACAAAGAAATACACAGCAAGCAAGAGGCACGTTGAAACACACACTGGAAACTGCACACATTGCATTTACACACACACACGCACACACACACTCACACACAGACACACACTCACACACTCACACACACTCTCACTCACAGACACACACACAGACACAGACACACTCACAGACGCTCGCTGGTACGTGATGAGACGTGGATGGCAAACAAGCAGCACAAGAGGGCGGACAGGGCAACAGATGCGCTCGCCGCAGTCAACAAAGCAACCAACGAAAGACGATTGTCGTGTCAGCAACATGCACAAGACGCAGGCAACCATGAAGCAACACGCAACACACGACGCACGACGCACAACACACGCACCATGGGACGGGCAAAACGAACACCGGACAAGGAATAGGAAGAGTCATCAGCCCTGGGCGCAGGGCACCCAGAGAAACAAACACAAACAATGCAAGACGGGTGGACTGCTATCATAGTGCGCATGCTTGTTGCCATTGTCATTGGTGGTGCTGTTGCTGCCGCCACTACCGTGCGTGATGCTGATGGTTGTGGTGGTGGAGTGTTACTCCGTGTTGAGCAGAGCGTAGAATTTGCCGTGCGGGTCAGACTTGAGCTCGTCATATGTGCCGCGCTCAACAACAGCGCCTGCAGTAGGGCGGGCGGGGAGAGGTTTGAATGGCGGATTAAGGATGGTCGAGAGAAGGGCAGGAAGCCAAAGGGCCAGACAAAATCAAGCGCCGTCAAATTCACACACACAGACACATACGCAAAGACAGATACTTACACAGAGACACGCAAACACGCACACACACAGACACAGACACAGACACGCAAACACAGACAGACCCACAGGCAGACACACACCTTCTTCGATGACGAGGATTTCGTCGCAGTGCTCGATGGTGGCGTAGCGATGGGCGATGATGATGGTGGTGGCGTTGTTCTCGCGGGCGTGCTGGCGGATCAGGTGCATCACCGCAGCCTCCGTCGACCCATCAAGCGCACTGCACCGCCATGCAAGGAATCACAAATGGGAACGAGGGAAGAGGGACCAAAGAGGGAAGAGGGACCAAAGAGGGAAGGTTTAGTAGGAGTAGGATGCAAACAAGAGGGAGGGTGGGGTGAGTTGACGCGCTGCGCGTGCGAGTCTTGACGCCGAGTTTGTGAAACGTGCCACCCACGTAAGAGCAACCAAAACCAGTCACCACCACCACCACCACCACCACGACCAAGCACGGCGAGGGTTGCGCCTGACCTTGTGATTTCGTCGAGGACCATGAGCTTTGGCTGGCTGAGGAGGGCGCGGACAATACCAATGCGCTGCTGCTGTCCGCCAGATGTGTCGCCAGCCTTCTTCTCAAGCATCACCATGTCCTTCTCGCCCATCTCAAGGAACTCGTGCAGGCCAACCTGATTGGGGGGGGGGGCATGCAGTGTGGTCGAGACGTGAGCATATGTGTCTGTGTGTCTGTCTGTGTGTCTGACTCTGCCTGTCTGTGTGTCTGACACACACACACACACACACACACACACACACACACACACACACACACACACACACACACACACACACACAACCATCACCACCGTTCGCACCTTGCGCTGACGTCCCTGATGTTGATACCGCCGAGGGTGAGGTCGCCCTCACCAGGCTCAATGCCATACTCCTTGAGAATGAGCTTGATCATGGTGCTCTTGCCACAGCCCGTGTGCCCAACAAGGCCAAGGCTCTTTCCTTGCGGAATCTCCACAGAGACGTCCTTCATCTTGTAGTCAATGGGCGAGTCGGCGTCCTTCGGGCGTGTGTACGCAAAGTACACCTGGGCAGTGGAAGAGCAGCGAGAAGGTGGGGAGGAAGGGGAATGTGGACGAGTTAGGGTTCAGACAGGGCTGAGACAGGGCTGTGTCGTGCTTTTTTCAAGCTGTGTCCCATCACACAATGTAGCGCAGACCACAGGCAAGCAGAAATAGCATTCGCACACGCACGCGCGCGCACACACACACACACACACACACACACACACACACACACAC